CGAGACCCACCCCAGCCCTCCCTCTAATTCCCCTCGACACCCACCTCCTCCTCACGCTCCCTACTTCGCGCTACTTAGGAAACTCGAGCCGCGCCAGCTCTGGCGCGGCCAAGCTAGTTGCTGCAGCTAGGTTTTTTTATTTTAAATAAACCCTAAACCCTAAACCCTAAACCCTAAACCCTAAATCCTAAACCCTAAACCCTAAACCCTAAACCCTAAACCCTAAACCCTAAACCCTAAACCCTAAACCCTAAACCCTAAACCCTAAACCCTAAACCCTAAACCCTAAACCCTAAACCCTAAACCCTAACCCTAAACCCTAAACCCTAAACCCTAAACCCTAAACCCTAAACCCTAAACCCTAAACCCTAAACCCTAAACCCTAAACCCTAAACCCTAAACCCTAAACCCTAAACCCTAAACCCTAAACCCTAAACCCTAAACCCTAAACCCTAAACCCTAAACCCTAAACCCTAAACCCTAAACCCTAAACCCTAAACCCTAAACCCTAAACCCTAAACCCTAAACCCTAAACCCTAAACCCTAAACCCTAAACCCTAAACCCTAAACCCTAAACCCTAAACCCTAAACCCTAAACCCTAAACCCTAAACCCTAAACCCTAAACCCTAAACCCTAAACCCTAAACCCTAAACCCTAAACCCTAAACCCTAAACCCTAAACCCTAAACCCTAAACCCTAAACCCTAAACCCTAAACCCTAAACCCTAAACCCTAAACCCTAAACCCTAAACCCTAAACCCTAAACCCTAAACCCTAAACCCTAAACCCTAAACCCTAAACCCTAAACCCTAAACCCTAAACCCTAAACCCTAAACCCTAAACCCTAAACCCTAAACCCTAAACCCTAAACCCTAAACCCTAAACCCTAAACCCTAAAACCCTAAACCCTAAACCCTAAACCCTAAACCCTAAACCCTAAACCCTAAACCCTAAACCCTAAAACACTAAAACCCTAAAACCCTAAAACCTAAACCCTAAACCCTAAACCCTAAACCCTAAACCCTAAACCCTGAACCCTAAACCCTGAACCCTAAACCCTGAACCCTAAACCCTAAACCCTAAACCCTAAACCCTAAACCCTAAACCCTAAACCCTAAACTCTTCACTTGTTCTCGCAATTCTGCACTCACTAGTTGCTTGTTCTTGCAATTCTGCACTCGCTAGACGCTTGTTTTCGCAAATCTGCACTCGCTAGACGCTTGTTCTCGCAATTCTGCACTCGCTAGACGCTTGTTCTCGCAATTCTGCACTCGCTAGACGCTTGTTCTTGCAATTCTGCACTCGCTAGACGCTTGTTCTCGCAATTCTGCACTCTCTAGACGCTTGTTCTCGCACTTCTGCACTCGCTAGACGCTTGTTCTCGCAATTCTTCACTCGCTAGACGCTTGTTCTCGCACTTCTGCACTCGCAAGACGCTTATTCTGCACTCGCTAGACGCTTATTCTGCACTCGCTAGACACTTCTTCTCGTAATTCTGCACTCGCTAGACACTTGTTCTCGCAATTCTGCACTTGCTGGACACTTGTTAGTGCAGAGTTGTTCTTGCAATTCCGCACTCGCTAGACATTCTATGTTTTTTTCTACACCTGTGGGGATCATGCGCTTCCTTGGCATTTGTCGGCAAAAACAGCCGCCATCGCAGGCGCCGAGCGCTTTTTTAGCCATATTTGCTCGAAACGGGATCGAATCCGCACCGTTTTAAATTGCGAAGCAGCCGTGGTTTTTTTCTTTTGGTGGTAACCATTGTATGCCCCTGCACCTTGCATCACTCTCGGCTGCAAACGCGCACAAGCGCACCTTCCCTGCCCCTTTGATTAAGCCCATCCAGTGCGTTTTGTAACCATATTTTCGCGAAACGGAATCGAATCTGCACCGGTATAGAAAATTACGAATCAGCCGGGGATTTTTGCACTCGATGGTACTCATTCTATGTCCCTGCACCTTGCATCTCACTCTCGGCTGCAAAAGCACATAAGCGTGTCAGAGGTCCACTGGTGATCCCCGATTGATCCTAGGGAAGGGTTATCCCAGGCTCGTTATCCTGGGGGGTTATGGGCGCACTGACCCGCTACTTAACAAGCCCTTTTATCCCAATGGTCTAGTGGTTGGGATTCTGACATGGTATCAGAGTGAAGGTCTCGGGTTCGAATCCCAGTGTGTGCACTTCGGGCATCCCACTGCGGGGGGGTGTCAGAGGTCCACTGGTGATCCCCGATTGATCATAGGGAAGGGTTACAGGCTCGTTATCCTGGGGGATTATGGGCGCACTGACCCGCTACTTAACAAGCCCTTTTATCCCAATGGTCTAGTGGTTGGGATTCTGACAAAGCGCGCCTTCCCCACTTCTTTGATTACGCCCATCCAGGGCATTTTTAGGCATATTTTCGCAAAACAGGATCGAATCCGCACCAGTATAGAAAAATGCAAAGCATTCGGGGATTTTTGCACTCTATCGTACTCACTGTACCCTCTGCAGCTTGATGTCGAGAATGAAGATTAGGGTCAAGGGTTTGACCTAGGCGAGGGTGACGAGAAGGAAAGTGGCGAGGGAAAAGTGCAAGCCAAAAGAGGGTGTTCACTATGGAGCGAGCAGTACAAATAGGCAAGAATGAAGAAAGGCAAATGGTACACCACCTAGCAGGAAACTAAGATAACTACACTAGGCTACTGTAGGCATTTATATGAAAGTATACAAATACATTTCAACACACCCCCTAAATGCCTACAGTGGAAACCCGTGTGTAGCACAAAGTCTGCAGGGGTACAACAGGTGCAGTGGAAGAAACAGAAACAAGCAAGAGCAGTAGTAGCCGGTGCAGGAGTGGCAAATCCAGCTGTAGCACGCCCTCAGCCAAAGCAGAAACGGGTGTAGGGGCGGCAGGTCGCCTGAGGAGCAGGCTCTGTGGCTGCAACATGCAGCAGGACAGTAGCGGCTCGACGGCAGCACCTGCAGGCCCCAGCAGCAGAAAGCAGAAACAAAGACAAGTGGCGGCAGGGGCGGCAGCAGGAGGTGCCACGGTAGCAGCGGGTGGCAGCTGCAGATGCTTGACTGTTTTCCCACCACCCTCTCTTACCCTCCCCCCCACAGCAGCACAAGCGGCAGTGAGAGAGAGAGGAGGGGTGGCTGCTGGCTTTGCAGAGTCTCTCTCGCCACCCTCTCACACTCCCCCCGTTTCCCTTCACCCTCCCCCCGCAACCTCTCCCCCCCCTTCACGGCGAATCCCGCTGAAGGGAGGGGTAGGACGGGCTGCAGGCAACTCACACCCGCCACCCCCACATCTCCCTCCCCCCACGGCAAAAGTTGCGGAAGGGAAGGGGGGGGCGGTGTTAGCTGCTGCTCACGCAGGTGCTGGCGACGGGCGCTGGTGTTGGCGCACGGCCGTGCGCAAATGCGCACGGTCGTACACAGCTGCGCGCAGCAATGCGCGCCCGTACGCAGCTGCGCACGGCTGCTGCTGTGGTCGTGACAGAACGGGGTGGGGCAGGTCGGGACGGGGCGGGTAGCGCTGGGCGGGTGACAGGGCGAAGGAGCAACGAGGCGGTACAAGCCGCCCAGCTCGTCGCCATGACAGCAAAAAACTTGCCGTCGCGCCCGTCACGTCAGTCGCAACTAAAGGCGCGACGGCCGCCATGAAACAAGGAATACGCGGTGGGCCCATGGAGAAATTAAAAACAGTAGGCCAGGATATTACATGCTCTGTACCATGTCGAGAATGAAGATTAGGGTCAAGGGTTTGACCTAGGCGAGGGTGACGAGAAGGAAAGTGGCGAGGGAAAAGTGCAAGCCAAAAGAGGGTGTTCACTATGGAGCGAGCAGTACAAATAGGCAAGAATGAAGAAAGGCAAATGGTACACCACCTAGCAGGAAACTAAGATAACTACACTAGGCTACTGTAGGCATTTATATGAAAGTATACAAATACATTTCAACACTTGAATCTCAGTCTCGGCTGCAAACGCGCACAAGCTGCCTTCCCCACATCTTTGATTGGGTTCATATAGGGTATTTTTAGCCATATTATCGCGAAAACGGGATCGAATCCGTACCGGTATAGAAAATTGCGAAGCAGCCTAGGATTTTAGCACTCGATTATACCCATTGTACCCCCCCACTCCTTGCATCTTAGTCTAGGCTGCAATCACGCACAAGCGCGCCTTTCCCACCCCTTTGACGCCCATCCCAAGCTTTTTTAGCCATATTTTTACGAAAACATCGAATCCGCACCGGTATAGAAATTTTCGAAGCAGTCGGGGTTTTTTCACTCAATCGTATCCATTGTACCCCCCCGCACCTTGCATGCTTCACTCCTGGGCTCTTTGCATCATGATTTCAGGTCCGTAACAGGGCAAATTTTATCAGTGTAAATCACCCTAATACCCTGATAAGCAGGGTGGTTTTTTATAGTCACACTGATGGCCTAGGGTAGATTTTTTTAAGATTAGGTTTTCCCTGATGTGCCAGAGTTTTTGTGTAAGGCACACTGATGCGTAAGGGTTTCCCGATTCCCGTAACGGGTTTTACCCTGTACCGAGTACCCTACCCCCCCCCTCCTCCCCTAGTACACCCACCCCCCCTTTCCCGTAACCTGGGATTCCGGAGAGGCAACTGTCGAAGCCGGAATTTCGGCCGTGCCCACTCATGCGCTGGCACACAGTGGGCCACCATTTGCCAGGATTACAGTTTCTTCGTAGGCAGCGCCACCGACTCAACTCGATATGCTTGTCTGGCATGACAACATGGCCGGGTTAGCTGGAAACATGGCTGACTGCAGCAGATAGTCGGTGCCGACAAGCCCACTGGGCATCGTGGTCCTTGCACGACTGTGGCTGGCTCTGCAGTTTGTTTGCGTGCAAGGTAGGAAACAGAGGCGAGAAAGTGGTTGGGGGCATGAACACGATTGGGGTTTCACATTGCATTCCCAGAGAACACACGCACAGTTAGGCTGCCTAGGACAGTCTTCCGCTACACAAGAGGAGCCATGGCTCCAGCAGAGACTGACAATGGTGAGGCTGATGACGAGCCACCGAATGAGCCGCCCGCGCGGACAGGCCTCGACTTTCTGCGAGCGCTGCATGCGACCCCTCCGCCTGTAGGCACTGCAGGCCCGTCTGCTTGCAGCAATGAGAAAGAGGCCGTTGCAACGCCGTCTGCCTCTATTCGCGTCGCGCCTGACAGTGCTCCCGCCACTGTCAGCGTCACTGAGGTGGGTGAGTCATCGTCTGCAGCCTCGAACAAGCGGCGTCGCTTCGCGCAAGGCGTCCTACCGTTCGGCACGCCCCCTGCGAAACCGACTCCGCCTCCCGTTCCTGTCCAAGCTCCGAAGCGTGCGTCCCGTGAACTCACCGACGCTGAGAAGGTTGAGGAGAAATTTCTAAAGGCGCAGCAGCTATACATCACGCAGTGGCTGCCGAAGTTTGACTGGCTGCTGCTTGACAAGAACGAGAAGGGCCTGCCCATTCTGCGATGCAGCATTTGCGTGGAGCATGGGAAAGACGACGCAAAGTTCGGATGGAACGGAACGGGGGGACGCGATCTGCAGCTCGGATTGATGCGCTGTCACGAGCTGAGCGGCTGCCACGAGGAAGCCATGAAACGGCAGCGGACGCTCATGGTGGAGATCGAGAAGCAGAAGCGGATCGACGATTTCGCCAACACCGACAAGGAGGGTGTGCGGCTTACTTGTCTCATGCGCGGCGTGGAGTTCATCTGCGACCATGACGCGCCGATCGCGATGTTCCCGAAGCTAATAGGCTTTCTCGCAGAGGAGGGAGTCGAGGACATACCGCTCCAGTCCTATGGCGTGTACATCACGCAGTAAGTGTATGCATTTTTGGGTTGAACGCTTTGGCTGCATCTTATGTTGTTGCAAGACCTTTCCCTTCAATACCTTCCCCTCGCCTTGTCGCAGATACGGATTCAACAAGATGGCGTCGGCGATGGCAAAGTTCCAGAAAACGCAGCAGCTGCAGCATCTGCTTGCTTCACCTTTCGTCGGCCTGACCTGTGACGAGAGCACAGATCGCGCTCGTGGCAAACACTTGATTGTGTTTGCCACGTTCCTCAAGCACGGCGTGTCTGCCACGGAATTTCTGGCGCTGCTGACGGTCCAGAAATGCGATGCGTCCTCGATTTTCACCGTGCTCGCAAGCCACCTGGAGTCGATTGGCGTCGACATCAAGCGGGTGTCCGGCATCGGTACAGACGGAGCTTCTGTGATGACGGGGGAGAAGAGCGGCTTGGTTACCCGCTTGCAAAAGCGCGTGCCGCATCTCGTCGGATGTCACTGCGTAGCGCATCGGTAAGCTCTGCTTTAATGGATGTTATTTTATCCTAACGCAATGAAGTACATCACCTTTTACTCCGTTACTGATCTTCCTTTTTTGTGTGCTGCAGTGAAGCCTTGGTGGTCAAGGATGCTGCGAAAGCTTTCCCCGACCTTAACATGATCGATGCTGCTGTGCGTGCTGTGGGGGAAATCATCTGCCGTTCCAACATTTGGTACGAGAGGTTCAAGGAGCTGCAACAAGAGATACAAAAGACAAACCTCGAACACCAAGGACTGTTCAATGTCAGATGGCTATCGCGGGGAGACGCTATAGCGCGGCTATGCAGAGTGTTCGGGGCGGCAATCGTCATAATTGTGGAGTACAGGCACAAGATTGCAGCAACAGTGCAAACGTTCAAATTCCATTTCTGTCTGTACTTTCTCGCAGATATTCTTTCCGTGCTTAACTCCCTCAACCGCTTCTTCCAGCACCGCAAGGCAAGTGTGGGTGCGTACATGTTTATGTTTGGTAATGGCAAAACTTTTTGAGTCTGACCGCTGCGACGTGCTTGGTGTGTGGCAGGTGGAAATCACACAAGTGGCCAAGGAAGTCGACCACACGATCACCATCATCACGCACCGATACATCGTGTACGGCGAGACATTTGGGGGCGGGGTCAGCAAGCTGCTGTCCAAGTTCATCAAAGAGCATGGAGGCGACAACAGGACGATGGTGGTTGAAGGGATTGACGCGGAGGGGCGGCAGACAACACACAAGTTTGAGCTGAGCGAGACACCTATCAAGAAACACAAGTTTGGGGGCACGCTTGCAGACTGCGAGAAGCTGTGCACTGGTTTCGCGAAGGAAAACGTCGCGAGAATGAAGTACCGCATGTGAGACTTGCAGCAGTTGGGCGGCGCGAAGCTGTTTCAAGTTGAATCGCGGCCATCCAGAGACGACCAGCAAGATCTGAAGACACTCGAGTGGCTTGCGGCAAAGGATGAGCTATTTGGCGGATTGCTTCCAGGTGAGGGTAGAATTGACACGTGCAATTGATTCGGTTTGTTCTAGGTATGCACGTTACAATATCGCATTAACTGACAGGCTCCCCCAACTACTTCCACCGCCCCAAACCACCTCCCCGACAGGGTTTGATTTCAAGGCGGCGAAGAAGGAGCTGTGGAGTTTCTGCCACATCTTGTCGCGCCATCACGCGGGGGAAGATTTCCACCAGGGCCTTCAAAGCATGTTGAAGAGCCGTGACTGGCGGCGCAGCTATCCGAACCTGATGACACTCTGGCAGGCCCTCGCTGTGCTGCCCCTGAGCACAGTGGAGTGTGAGAGGGGGTTCAGTCGCCAGAACATCATTAAGAGCTGGATGCACACGTCGCTTTGCGACGCACGCCTTGGAGACCTCATGACGCTGCACATGCTCAAATACCCATACGTCTGACCAGACGTGGTGGACATCTGGCGCAAACAGAAAACCCGACAACCGGCGAAATCAGTTGCGCACGCGACACCTGTGGATCGGAAGGGGAAACAGAAAGCACCAGAGCCAGAAGAGGAAAGTGACCACGATGAACACCCTTGTGGCATATCTGATGATGATGAATGAAATCTGTATTGAGTGCAACGTTAAAATCAATTGAACAGGCTTATTTTTTACCGTACACTGATGCGACAGGGTAGATTTTTATAAAACCAACTTTACCCTAATGAAAAAGAATTTTCACAAGGGGTCACACTGATAATCAGGTTTTTGAGCATATGGTACACTGATCACAAGGGTTGGTCAAATCCAAAAATTAGCCCTCGTCCGTAAACCCATAAATGCAATCTTCGTACCAAATAAAAATGTTCATTTCGGTCGTTTGTAGCCTGAAAACAGGGAAGGAATATCTACATCGATATAAAAAATGAAGCTGGATTTTTTTTGTCGTGGTAATTTTGGCTTTGCATTGGTGCAATAACTGACAGTTCGTAACAGGGGAAACTACTATATCATAAACAGAGTGTTGGCCAAGATGTCAATCTGAAATATTTGGCCTGGTGGGAAACTTCATAAGGAAACTCTGTTGAATCGAAGTGATAGAATTCCCGTGTCGGGACCTGAAGGATGATGAACGAGCGACGGTGGCGTTACTCAGCGAGCAAGGGGGGAAGGCCACAGGGAGCGATGAGTTTCTCTCCATCTGGTGTAATCCCAGAACGATCAGACAGCCTCCGTAAAAGCCCCACGGAGGGGAGACCCCAGTAGTAGTACAAGTCTATATAACCAGGGTAGGGCCTCTCCGGACAATTAGTTACGACTGAGAATGTATGCACTTCCTATAGTGTAATATCATTCACCAAAAAAATAAACCCGTGTATCGAAGTGTCCATTAACGAAGTCCCTGGTTCCCAGGTTTCAAGGCGAAACCCCAATTGCCCGCCTCGAATCGCAGCCACCTGCATTGAACGTTGGGTCTCACGCAACAAGCTGCTCGTCTCCAGCAACAATACCCACGTTTATGCCAAGCAGTTCGTTTTACCCTTTGTTTTCTAGAGCTTTCATTCTATCACATTTATGCTTGACACCCACCACTGCTATTATCTTTTTGTACGTCTCGTTCCCGCCAAAAGATTTTTTGTCAATTGCCCAGCGCTTGGATGGGTGTGTAGTGTTGCTCTTCCTATGCCCTCGCACTCCTCTCGCTTTGCTTACCGCATTCGTGCGGGCTTGTTTGTCGAGGGTGATGAGTGGAAGAGCATGAGGACGGACGGCCCTCACCAAACAGCAGCTTAGGTCAAGACCGGACGGCCCTCATCTCTGCATATCATATCTTCTCAAACTAAAGCCATACATTTTGCCTACCTCCCGACTAACGTGTCATTTCCGCGGTGCAACCACACCCACAGAAGCACCTATTACCCTCTAGACTGTCGTGCCGCAGACCCTCCGCAGCCCCTGCTGATTGCTTTTCTTCCTGCGTTCGTTACCCGTCATGCACGTTAGTTAATCGCAGCAACTTGTTCTAGGTAGCACGAGGCGGGGCCACGAGCCGAGGATGTCGCTGCTGACGGAGTACGAGGGGTGGAAGGAATCGCCGGACGTCGAGTCGCTGCTGCCGTCCACGTCACAGCCATCGGAGTCGCAGCCGCCGGCATCCCAACCCTCTGTACCGTCCCTTACCACTCCGCCTTCAGCGACCGACTCCGCTCAACTGCCGTCCCCTCGCCGGCCACACCCACACCCGCCGGGCGCTGCCGCCATTCCGTCCGCCTCTACACCGGCAACCGCAAGGCTTCCGCGAGGGGAGAGCGATCGCGGGCCGCGGTCGAATGAGGGGGAGGCGGCGGAAGCGCAACGCCAGGCGGCGGAGCAACGCCTTCCGCCGTCCGTCAGCACCGGCGGCAAAGCGAAGCAACGCAGCGGGCCCTTGAACCGGGTAACGTCCGCGCTGCGTCCCATGTCCGCCATGTACCCCCGGCGCAAGCCGCTAGGCGCGGGAGTGCGCTTCGACGACGATCGCGACGTCCCCTCGCCGAGAGCCGACGGCAGCAACAGCTTACCGAGGGCGAGCGCCGCCGTCGACGCGCAGCCTGACGACGGGGGGGCGCTGACGGGCGGGCAGAAGAAACCGGGAGAGGAAGGCGGATTGCAAGGCGAGGGCGGTGTGGGGAAGATGGGGTCGGGGCGGAGCAAGTGGCAGATGGTGCGGCGGTCGCTGAAAGACATTAAGGAAGTGGAGCGCGAACTCAAGGACATGGCGGACACCGCGCGCGGAGGGGCGGCGGCGGACGACGAGGGCGCGAGTGAGGGCGCGGACGACGACGACCTGGAGCGGCTCGCCAAGGACCTCGAAGCGCTGCGCGCCGAGCGCAAGGCGCGGCAGCAGCAGCAGAAGCAGCAGCGCGCGACGAACCCGCTAGGCAACGCGGGCGGACCGCCGCAATCGGCGGTGCACGTGGACATGCCGGGCGGCGTGCGGCAGCGCAAGATGGTGCGGCAGAGTGTGATCATGTGCATGGACCCCATGTGCAACCGCTGCCCGCCCGAGATGCACCTCCACATGCGCAAAATGATGGCCGCCGCCGCGCCCGGCGCCAGCGCGGCCGTGACGCCGGTGGCGAAGGACTACTCGGCGATGGACTGGATGCTGGACGACGATGGCGACGAGGATGGCGACGGCGAGGAGGAGCTGCTCGTCACACTGCGCTGCTGCGGCCTCCGATTCACCTACGTGAGCCCCCACACCCGCGCTGCCTACTCGCAGCGGCACATTGCCACTGTTGCTGTCCGTGCTGCATTGCCATTGCCATTGCCATGCCATGCCATGACATGCCGTGCCATTCCATGCCATGCCATGCTGTGCCATGCCCACCACCTTCCCATCCCTCCCCCTCCCATCGCTGCCATCGGTCCCATCCCTCCCCATCCTTCCCATCGGTCCCATCCCTCCCCATCCTTCCCATCGGTCCCATCCCTCCCCATCCTTCCCATCGGTCCCATCCCTCCCCATCCTTCCCATCAGTCCCATCCCTCCCCATCCTTCCCATCAGTCCCATCCCTCCCCATCCTTCCCATCAGTCCCATCCCTCCCCATCCTTCCCATCAGTCCCATCCCTCCCCATCCTTCCCATCAGTCCCATCCCTCCCCATCCTTCCCATCGGTCCCATCCCTCCCCATCCTTCCCATCGGTCCCATCCCTCCCCATCCTTCCCATCGGTCCCATCCCTCCCCATCCTTCCCATCAGTCCCATCCCTCCCCATCCTTCCCATCAGTCCCATCCCTCCCCATCCTTCCCATCAGTCCCATCCCTCCCCATCCTTCCCATCGGTCCCATCCCTCCCCATCCTTCCCATCGGTCCCATCCCTCCCCATCCTTCCCATCGGTCCCATCCCTTCCCATCTCTCCGCGCCCCTGGCAGCGGCGGCGGCGCTTTCTGTTGCGGCGGTTCGTGGCGGAGCTGTGGCCGCCGCCGCTGCTGCATCCGCACAGCTACTACGTGAAGCTGTGGGTGAAGCTGCAGTTCGGCATGATGCTCGCCGCCTTCCTGCTCGACCCCTTCTTCCTCCTCGTCCTCTCCGTCTCCCAGGTACCCGCCCCTCCCTCACCCAGGTACCCGCCCCTCCCTCACCCAGGTATCCGCCTCTCCGTCACCCACCTGTCTCTCCGTCAGTCGGGTAGGTCCTTCTCCCTCACCCACCTGCCTGTACGTCAGTCAGGTGCCTCTCCGTCAGTCAGGTGGTTCCTACCTGGGTTCCACTCCCGTTCGTCCAATTATATATTTTCCGTGCTGTCTACTTTAAAGCCAGCATAATTTGTCTGCATGTGTGTGCACGCGTGTGCGTGTGCATGGGTGTGCGTGGGTGTGTGCAGGAGAACATGTGTGTGTACACGAGGTGGACCTTCGCCTACTGTCTCGTCGGCATTCGCACCTTCCTTGACTTCCTCACGCTCCTCAACATACTCGTGCATGTGAGTCGCTCTTAACATGCTTGTACATGCATGTGAGTCGCTCTTAACATGCTTGTACATGCATGTGAGTCGCTCTTAACATGCTTGTACATGCATGTGAGTCGCTCTTAACATGCTTGTACATGCATGTGAGTCGCCTCTTAACATGCTTGTACATGCATGTGAGTCGCTCTTAACATGCTTGTACATGCATGTGAGTCGCTCTTAACATGCTTGTACATCCATGTGAGTCGCTCTTAACATGCTTGTACATGCATGTGAGTCGCTCTTAACATGCTTGTACATGCATGTGAGTCGCTCTTAACATGCTTGTACATGCATGTGAGTCGCTCTTAACATGCTTGCACATGCATGTGAGTCGCTCTTAACATGCTTGTACATGCATGTGAGTCGCTCTTAACATGCTTGTACATGCATGTGAGTCGCTCTTAACATGCTTGTACATGCATGTGAGTCGCTCTTAACATGCTTGTACATATTGAGGCTCCCCACTTCCCTCCCCACTTCCCTCCCCACTTTCCCCCCCCACTTCCCTCCCCACTTTCCCCCCCCACTTTCCCTCCCCACTTTCCCTCCCCACTTTTCCCTCTCCCTCCTCCCCACTTTCTCTCCACTTTCCTCCCCACTTTCCCTCCCCACTTTCTCTCTCCACTTTCCTCCCCACATTCCCTCCCCACTTTCCCTTCCCACTTTCCTCCCCACTTTCCTTCTCCACTTTTTTTCCATCGCTGCTCTCTCCCAACGAACCCCGGCGTATCCCCTCCTCCTCACCCCTCTCGCCCGCCCACAACACCTCCCCCCGTCCCCTGCGGGTGGGCATCAGACGCGCATGATGTTCAACGCGACGCACGACCATGTGAAGGACGGCACCATACGCAACTCGAGTGGCGAGAAGGTGAAGCTGGGCGACCTCGTCGTGGACGGCCGCGCCATCCTGCACAACTACCTCCGAACGCTCTTCCTCGCCGACCTCCTCGCCCTCATCCCCCTCCCCCAGGTCCGCCCCCCCCCACCTCCGTCCCTCGCCAACTTCGCCCATCCATGGGTCCCTCGTTCCCCAGGGCCGCACCTCCCACAAGTGTCACCTCCCACAAGTGTCACCTCCCACAAGTGTCACCTCCCACAAGTGTCACCTCCCACAAGTGTCACCTCCCACAAGTGTCACCTCCCACAAGTGTCACCTCCCACAAGTGTCACCTCCCACAAGTGTCACCTCCCACAAGTGTCACCTCCCACAAGTGTCACCTCCCACAAGTGTCACCTCCCACAAGTGTCACCTCCCACAAGTGGCACCTCCCACAAGTGTCACCTCCCACAAGTGGCACCTCCCACAAGTGTCACCTCCCACAAGTGTCACCTCCCACAAGTGTCACCTCCCACAAGTGTCACCTCCCACAAGTGTCACCTCCTTGTGCCGCTCGCCCTGCTCTCCTCGCCATCCCTCCTTCCCTGCTCTCCTCGCCATCCCTCCTTCCCTGCTCTCCTCGCCATCCCTCCTTCCCTGCTCTCCTCGCCATCCCTCCTTCCCCATGCACCCTGCCCCTCCCCTCCTTTGCGCTCCGCTGCTCCTGCCTCACTCCACCAACCAAGCTGTCCCTCTCCTCTCCTCCCCTCCCAGATAATAACGGTGGCGGTGCTGCCGCTCTCGCCGGACATCAACGTGTCGCAGACGTGGCAGGTGGCGGTGCGCATCAGCGTGCTGCTGCAGTTTGTGCCGCGCCTGGCGCGCATGTACCCCATGCTGTCGGGGCAGGGCAGCCACTCCGTGCTCTTTGAGACCGCCTGGGCGTCCTTCCTGCTCAACCTCGTCGCCTTCTTCATGGGCTCCAACGTGGTGGGCACGCTCTGGTACCTCCTCACCATGCAGCGCACCGCCACCTGCCTCGTCAACTCCTGCCTGCCCGACTCCTCGCCGCCCTGCAACCAGGCCTTCCTCAGCTGCACTGGGGAGGGTACGCCGGGGTACAGCGAGTGGCTGGCGGGCAGCAGCGGCATGTACGACACGTGTCTGAGCAGCAGCGGCATCAGCAGCGACTTCTACGGCATGTACACCACGGGTGTGCGCGTGGTGCAGCTCGGCTCCTTCTTCTCCACCTGGCTCTACTCCCTCATGTGGGGCTTCCAGGTAACCCCTCCACGCCCACCCCCACCCCCACCCACCCCCACGCCCACCACGAACCCCACGCCCCTCTCCTCGCTCTCTTCACTTGGAATCTCCTGTTCTCCAAACAGCTGGTCTTCCCTTGTCCCTCCAGCCTCCCTGACTCCCCTCTCATCCTCCTCTTTCTCGCTCCTGCTCAACCTAACGCCCCATGCGGTGTGCTGTGCGTGTGTGTGTACGTGTGCGGTGTGGCGTGGTGTGTGTGTGAGGGGAGCAGCAAATCAGTACACTAGCGGGCAATCTGGTGCCGACCACGGAGGTGGGCGAGGTGGTCTTCATGCTGCTCATCGTCGCGCTCGGGCTCTTCCTCTTCGCCTTCCTCATCGGCAACATGCAGAACTTCCTGCAGTCCCTCAGCCGCAGGTCAGTCCCTCAGCCGCAGGTCAGTCCCTCAGCCGCAGGTCAGTCCCTCAGCCGCAGGTCAGTCCCTCAGCCGCAGGTCAGTCCCTCAGCCGCAGGTCAGTCCCTCAGCCGCAGTCCTAGGGGTCAGTCCCTCAGCCGCAGGTCAGTCCCTCAGCCGCAGGTCAGTCCCTCAGCCGCAGGTCAGTCCCTCAGCCGCAGGTCAGTCCCTCAGCCGCAGGTCAGTCCCTCAGCCGCAGGTCAGTCCCTCAGCCGCAGGTCAGTCCCTCAGCCGCAGGTCAGTCCCTCAGCCGCAGGGCAGTCCCTCAGCCGCAGGTCAGTCCCTCAGCCGCAGGTCAGTCCCTCAGCCGCAGGTCAGTCCCTCAGCCGCAGGTCAGTCCCTCAGCCGCAGGTCAGTCCCTCAGCCGCAGGTCAGTCCCTCAGCCGCAGGTCAGTCCCTCAGCCGCAGGTCAGTCCCTCAGCCGCAGGTCAGTCCCTCAGCCGCAGGTCAGTCCCTCAGCCGCAGGTCAGTCCCTCAGCCGCAGGTCAGTCCCTCAGCCGCAGGTCAGTCCCTCAGCCGCAGGTCAGTCCCTCAGCCGCAGGTCAGTCCCTCAGCCGCAGGTCAGTCCCTCAGCCGCAGGTCAGTCCCTCAGCCGCAGGTCAGTCCCTCAGCCGCAGGTCAGTCCCTCAGCCGCAGGTCAGTCCCTCAGCCGCAGGTCAGTCCCTCAGCCGCAGGTCAGTCCCTCAGCCGCAGGTCAGTCCCTCAGCCGCAGGTCAGTCCCTCAGCCGCAGGTCAGTCCCTCAGCCGCAGGTCAGTCCCTCAGCCGCAGGTCAGTCCCTCAGCCGCAGGTCAGTCCCTCAGCCGCAGGTCAGTCCCTCAGCCGCAGGTCAGTCCCTCAGCCGCAGGTCAGTCCCTCAGCCGCAGGTCAGTCCCTCAGCCGCAGGTCAGTCCCTCAGCCGCAGGTCAGTCCCTCAGCCGCAGGTCAGTCCCTCAGCCGCAGGTCAGTCCCTCAGCCGCAGGTCAGTCCCTCAGCCGCAGGTCAGTCCCTCAGCCGCAGGTCAGTCCCTCAGCCGCAGGTCAGTCCCTCAGCCGCAGGTCAGTCCCTCAGCCGCAGGTCAGTCCCTCAGCCGCAGGTCAGTCCCTCAGCCGCAGGTCAGTCCCTCAGCCGCAGGTCAGTCCCTCAGCCGCAGGTCAGTCCCTCAGCCGCAGGTCAGTCCCTCAGCCGCAGGTCAGTCCCTCAGCCGCAGGTCAGTCCCTCAGCCGCAGGTCAGTCCCTCAGCCGCAGGTCAGTCCCTCAGCCGCAGGTCAGTCCCTCAGCCGCAGGTCAGTCCCTCAGCCGCAGGTCAGTCCCTCAGCCGCAGGTCAGTCCCTCAGCCGCAGGTCAGTCCCTCAGCCGCAGGTCAGTCCCTCAGCCGCAGGTCAGTCCCTCAGCCGCAGGTCAGTCCCTCAGCCGCAGGTCAGTCCCTCAGCCGCAGGTCAGTCCCTCAGCCGCAGGTCAGTCCCTCAGCCGCAGGTCAGTCCCTCAGCCGCAGGTCAGTCCCTCAGCCGCAGGTCAGTCCCTCAGCCGCAGGTCAGTCCCTCAGCCGCAGGTCAGTCCCTCAGCCGCAGGTCAGTCCCTCAGCCGCAGGTCAGTCCCTCAGCCGCAGGTCAGTCCCTCAGCCGCAGGTCAGTCCCTCAGCCGCAGGTCAGTCCCTCAGCCGCAGGTCAGTCCCTCAGCCGCAGGTCAGTCCCTCAGCCGCAGGTCAGTCCCTCAGCCGCAGGTCAGTCCCTCAGCCGCAGGTCAGTCCCTCAGCCGCAGGTCAGTCCCTCAGCCGCAGGTCAGTCCCTCAGCCGCAGGTCAGTCCCTCAGCCGCAGGTCAGTCCCTCAGCCGCAGGTCAGTCCCTCAGCCGCAGGTCAGTCCCTCAGCCGCAGGTCAGTCCCTCAGCCGCAGGTCAGTCCCTCAGCCGCAGGTCAGTCCCTCAGCCGCAGGTCAGTCCCTCAGCCGCAGGTCAGTCCCTCAGCCGCAGGTCAGTCCCTCAGCCGCAGGTCAGTCCCTCAGCCGCAGGTCAGTCCCTCAGCCGCAGGTCAGTCCCTCAGCCGCAGGTCAGTCCCTCAGCCGCAGGTCAGTCCCTCAGCCGCAGGTCAGTCCCTCAGCCGCAGGTCAGTCCCTCAGCCGCAGGTCAGTCCCTCAGCCGCAGGTCAGTCCCTCAGCCGCAGGTCAGTCCCTCAGCCGCAGGTCAGTCCCTCAGCCGCAGGTCAGTCCCTCAGCCGCAGGTCAGTCCCTCAGCCGCAGGTCAGTCCCTCAGCCGCAGGTCAGTCCCTCAGCCGCAGGTCAGTCCCTCAGCCGCAGGTCAGTCCCTCAGCCGCAGGTCAGTCCCTCAGCCGCAGGTCAGTCCCTCAGCCGCAGGTCAGTCCCTCAGCCGCAGGTCAGTCCCTCAGCCGCAGGTCAGTCCCTCAGCCGCAGGTCAGTCCCTCAGCCGCAGGTCAGTCCCTCAGCCGCAGGTCAGTCCCTCAGCCGCAGGTCAGTCCCTCAGCCGCAGGTCAGTCCCTCAGCCGCAGGTCAGTCCCTCAGCCGCAGGTCAGTCCCTCAGCCGCAGGTCAGTCCCTCAGCCGCAGGTCAGTCCCTCAGCCGCAGGTCAGTCCCTCAGCCGCAGGTCAGTCCCTCAGCCGCAGGTCAGTCCCTCAGCCGCAGGTCAGTCCCTCAGCCGCAGGTCAGTCCCTCAGCCGCAGGTCAGTCCCTCAGCCGCAGGTCAGTCCCTCAGCCGCAGGTCAGTCCCTCAGCCGCAGGTCAGTCCCTCAGCCGCAGGTCAGTCCCTCAGCCGCAGGTCAGTCCCTCAGCCGCAGGTCAGTCCCTCAGCCGCAGGTCAGTCCCTCAGCCGCAGGTCAGTCCCTCAGCCGCAGGTCAGTCCCTCAGCCGCAGGTCAGTCCCTCAGCCGCAGGTCAGTCCCTCAGCCGCAGGTCAGTCCCTCAGCCGCAGGTCAGTCCCTCAGCCGCAGGTCAGTCCCTCAGCCGCAGGTCAGTCCCTCAGCCGCAGGTCAGTCCCTCAGCCGCAGGTCAGTCCCTCAGCCGCAGGTCAGTCCCTCAGCCGCAGGTCAGTCCCTCAGCCGCAGGTCAGTCCCTCAGCCGCAGGTCAGTCCCTCAGCCGCAGGTCAGTCCCTCAGCCGCAGGTCAGTCCCTCAGCCGCAGGTCAGTCCCTCAGCCGCAGGTCAGTCCCTCAGCCGCAGGTCAGTCCCTCAGCCGCAGGTCAGTCCCTCAGCCGCAGGTCAGTCCCTCAGCCGCAGGTCAGTCCCTCAGCCGCAGGTCAGTCCCTCAGCCGCAGGTCAGTCCCTCAGCCGCAGGTCAGTCCCTCAGCCGCAGGTCAGTCCCTCAGCCGCAGGTCAGTCCCTCAGCCGCAGGTCAGTCCCTCAGCCGCAGGTCAGTCCCTCAGCCGCAGGTCAGTCCCTCAGCCGCAGGTCAGTCCCTCAGCCGCAGGTCAGTCCCTCAGCCGCAGGTCAGTCCCTCAGCCGCAGGTCAGTCCCTCAGCCGCAGGTCAGTCCCTCAGCCGCAGGTCAGTCCCTCAGCCGCAGGTCAGTCCCTCAGCCGCAGGTCAGTCCCTCAGCCGCAGGTCAGTCCCTCAGCCGCAGGTCAGTCCCTCAGCCGCAGGTCAGTCCCTCAGCCGCAGGTCAGTCCCTCAGCCGCAGGTCAGTCCCTCAGCCGCAGGTCAGTCCCTCAGCCGCAGGTCAGTCCCTCAGCCGCAGGTCAGTCCCTCAGCCGCAGGTCAGTCCCTCAGCCGCAGGTCAGTCCCTCAGCCGCAGGTCAGTCCCTCAGCCGCAGGTCAGTCCCTCAGCCGCAGGTCAGTCCCTCAGCCGCAGGTCAGTCCCTCAGCCGCAGGTCAGTCCCTCAGCCGCAGGTCAGTCCCTCAGCCGCAGGTCAGTCCCTCAGCCGCAGGTCAGTCCCTCAGCCGCAGGTCAGTCCCTCAGCCGCAGGTCAGTCCCTCAGCCGCAGGTCAGTCCCTCAGCCGCAGGTCAGTCCCTCAGCCGCAGGTCAGTCCCTCAGCCGCAGGTCAGTCCCTCAGCCGCAGGTCAGTCCCTCAGCCGCAGGTCAGTCCCTCAGCCGCAGGTCAGTCCCTCAGCCGCAGGTCAGTCCCTCAGCCGCAGGTCAGTCCCTCAGCCGCAGGTCAGTCCCTCAGCCGCAGGTCAGTCCCTCAGCCGCAGGTCAGTCCCTCAGCCGCAGGTCAGTCCCTCAGCCGCAGGTCAGTCCCTCAGCCGCAGGTCAGTCCCTCAGCCGCAGGTCAGTCCCTCAGCCGCAGGTCAGTCCCTCAGCCGCAGGTCAGTCCCTCAGCCGCAGGTCAGTCCCTCAGCCGCAGGTCAGTCCCTCAGCCGCAGGTCAGTCCCTCAGCCGCAGGTCAGTCCCTCAGCCGCAGGTCAGTCCCTCAGCCGCAGGTCAGTCCCTCAGCCGCAGGTCAGTCCCTCAGCCGCAGGTCAGTCCCTCAGCCGCAGGTCAGTCCCTCAGCCGCAGGTCAGTCCCTCAGCCGCAGGTCAGTCCCTCAGCCGCAGGTCAGTCCCTCAGCCGCAGGTCAGTCCCTCAGCCGCAGGTCAGTCCCTCAGCCGCAGGTCAGTCCCTCAGCCGCAGGTCAGTCCCTCAGCCGCAGGTCAGTCCCTCAGCCGCAGGTCAGTCCCTCAGCCGCAGGTCAGTCCCTCAGCCGCAGGTCAGTCCCTCAGCCGCAGGTCAGTCCCTCAGCCGCAGGTCAGTCCCTCAGCCGCAGGTCAGTCCCTCAGCCGCAGGTCAGTCCCTCAGCCGCAGGTCAGTCCCTCAGCCGCAGGTCAGTCCCTCAGCCGCAGGTCAGTCCCTCAGCCGCAGGTCAGTCCCTCAGCCGCAGGTCAGTCCCTCAGCCGCAGGTCAGTCCCTCAGCCGCAGGTCAGTCCCTCAGCCGCAGGTCAGTCCCTCAGCCGCAGGTCAGTCCCTCAGCCGCAGGTCAGTCCCTCAGCCGCAGGTCAGTCCCTCAGCCGCAGGTCAGTCCCTCAGCCGCAGGTCAGTCCCTCAGCCGCAGGTCAGTCCCTCAGC